CTCATGTATTTTTAATTTTTTTTATTTTTCTACACTTATCAGCTTTTCCTTAATGCATTTCTTTTTAAAACTAATTTGTAATTATTTTTAATGCTGTATTAATTAATATTATCTTTAATAAGGAGGAATATCATGCAATAGTTAGCAGTTGTCATTCATCCTTTTTGATATAAAGAAAAATATTCCACATCAGTACAGTACTCTTGAAGACATAATATCTTTATTTCTGCCACAGAATGTCTGAAATGCATCTAAATATGTTAAGCTAATTTCAACAACAGAAATATTTAAATTTGCTTTTTCCTGGTTATGTAATTATAACCCTTGTAATTGAGGTCTGCATTCATTTAACATGAGCTGATATTTTGGTTTTATTCATGGTAGAGGTGCCTTCTGTCCTTGCTTGGGTAGAGAATTAGAATGTGATATATAGATAAATTATATGTAGCAAAATAGAAAAATTAAGTGTGAATTGTTCGGTAGTTTGCCACAATTTGCAAATAAAATAAGAATAACGTAGATTAGCTAAATTCTCATGTTCCTACAGGAAATTAAGTTGCTTTAATCTTTCCTTTGCAGATTAAAACTATTTTGAGTGGATTCATCATCAGAGGTTACTTGGGAAAATGGACTTTAATGATTAAAACCATCACATTAGTACTGGCCGTGGCATCAGGTTTGAGTTTAGGAAAAGAAGGTCCCCTGGTACATGTTGCGTGTTGCTGTGGAAATATCTTTTCCTACCTCTTTCCAAAGTATAGCACAAATGAAGCTAAAAAAAGGGAGGTAAGTGTCTTTTGTAGTTAATTTGACAGAAAAATATCTGTTGTGTAGAATTTATGTCACTGAAGAATTTCATAGTGTGAAGATCATATTTTACTCTTTACTGTTCGGGTAAATTCTGTATTCAGATATCTTGTTTAAAAATAAATAAGTAAATAAGTAAAACTTTCCCCCCAAATGCCAGTTACTTCTCTCTCCTCTTGTCTGCAAAAACATACATCTGGAAAGTTGTCTCTATTCATTGCCACCTCTTCTGTACATCTGTTCATTTTAGTATATCTGATACAAAGGCTTTTTGTATGAATAGCCTTTCAATTAATGCAGAAAAGATAGAAATCTTTTTAGAAGAAATTAATACTTGCCCTTTGATTGGGGAGGAGGAGGACATGTGAATTAAATTCAGAAGAGGCATTTGGAGAATTCAAATAACATGAAGAATTTTTATTTGGCGTATTTATGAGAAAATATGAAATAAGCCACATCCTCTTTCTAGGTGCTATCAGCTGCCTCAGCTGCAGGTGTTTCTGTAGCTTTTGGTGCACCAATTGGAGGAGTTCTTTTTAGCCTGGAGGAGGTAGGTAAAAAAGTATAGCAATTAAAATTATATATAATTACTATTAATGATACTTTTGCAAATATATTTTGGCACACGTTTTCAGTTGTATAGCTGATGTAATAGGTATAGATTTTAAGTTTTCAAATTTATTTTTATGAAGTTGTTCTTCATTCATTTTTACATGAAAAGTAATATGCATGTTCCATTCCTGGAGAAAAGTATTTTTTAAATCCATTATTTATGTGTACCTGTTAATAATTATTTAATTTAACTCTAAAATAAAATGTGAATTTTTACTATTTAAAATGATATGAATTTGACTTAATAGAAGACATTTAAAACAATATATTTCTATTGGCTAGATTATAACCGGTGTTTTTATTTTTAAATTTTTAACTAATTCCTAAATGGTGTTTTAAAGTTTTTCTTGTGTGGTTATTTCCGATGCAGTTATTGATGATTAGGGGAATTTTAGTCACTTCAGCGAAATATTTTTGTTTAATCATTGGTGCTTAAGACTTTTTTCATTTTATACATTTATGCAAAAATGTAACAGGGAATGTTTTTAAATTTACTTTTTTCTTCCAGTTGTTCGTATTCTTTTCTTTTTTTTTTTAAATATAGAAGAGGCAAATTAAATACATCTTTACAAGCTAACAGGAGTTGATGATGATGAATTCGTTTTTAACTACCATAATTGAATTGGATGTGAAACTTGTTTTAAAAATAAAACAATGCTAGATGTTCTAAATAATATTAGACATTTAGGATCAATTGATATTGTGAATTTGTAATGATGTGATAGTGAAAGATAATAAAACTTCAATATTTTTCTTATTACAGTAAAATTCATTACATGTAAATTCTGACTTCAGTAAAATTTAGAGATAAGATATTTACC